GCAGAAAAAATATGACATGTCATAGAAGTGCTCCCTTTCGTGATCGCTGTTTGGGTTTTCTAAACGAGAACCTTAGATCTCTCTGGGCCAATCTGGGATCCTTCTTAAGTTGTGAATTCTGCTCTACACGAACAACTCCCCCGCAATCAGAATCAGAATTAGAACACATTGAGTGAGGAATTAGGTGGGACGAGAAGCCTTTCCCCCCTTGCGATGGAGTTTTGCTGACATAAGTACCCAAACCATGGAAAGGGTGGACTTGCTATGTGATATGTGAGGTGAAACAAAAGATGTTCTATAGATGGTTTGGTTCCCGTTTGACTCCTTGGCGTGTGCAGTAGAGTGGGAACATGGGTGGAGGCATGTCTGGTGCTGTAGAGGAGTCATCTTCGTCAATATTATTTCAAGAGGGGGTTACTTTGCCCAATTGTAGCCATTCTTCAGAAGCTTTAAAGCAATTTAAAAAAAAAAATTAACAAAACAGTCATGATTAGGAGTAAAGATTGGTTTCTGATGTTTCCGAAAGGACACAACGTTGTAAACAATGTCCTTTAAGTTTAAATTCTCTCATACAGGGTGGAACTGAACCAGTGAGAGAAGTGACACACACACACACACCCCGGCCATCCTCAAATTCTAAAAGGGAGGCAGCAAATGAACCATTTTTCCATCTGGACTCTTCCTTAGCATGATATAGTCCAAAAGTTTGGAGGCTGCGAAAGGAAACAAGAGATCTGACTCTGTATCCTTTTCTCAGGTCTGTTCCTTGACTTGGCCATGGTGGTGATAAATGCGTTGGTTACTTTCCTTGGCTGGATTACTGCATGGTGCTTCCCATGGAAAACTGTAAAAAAAGTCAGCTGTTTGGCAGGGGGTGCAGTAAGGTTTCGCTTAGACAACACTGTGCCTATACGTTCATTTCTGCCTGTTACATGTGTGTCTTAATCTTTCAGTTTCTTTTCTGAACCCTTTTTTAATCTATTCCTAAACTAACTTTTTCTATCTCATTCCAACTGTCTCTAACTGTCCTTTTTGCTCCGCCCCTCCTGCTTTATCCTCTGATTGACAGGCAGGGATGACGTCGTCTTTTGGATTCCGTTACAATGTGGAATTCATTTTTGCTGCATATAAAATGGGAATAAGAAGCAAAAGTCGGTATGACCTCAGACTATGACTCGGGGGTGGGGGTGGGGCCAGAGTTCAAATCCTGCCACTCCTGGAAACTCCGGGGGTGTGGGGGAGCTGGTAATGGCCAACCATTTCTTGAACATCTCACGCACTTTCAAAATTGTATTAGGGTCATCACAATTTGGAAGCAGCTTGGCAACCCAGGAAAACACCAAAGAAAATGAAAGTAAAGGAAGGTGCTGGTTGAAGCAGGCAGTTCTCAGAAGGTAAAATTCAATTTTAATGGCCATGTGAACAGCAAAAGTGACATTGTGAGCGTGAGAAAAGTCAGGCGGGTGCCTTTGCCTGTTTCCCAGATGGAAAACATGAAGGAGCCTTGCTTCCCAGGGTGTTCACAAGATCACGGAGGTTTGTGGTCTCCAAAGGTGTGGGTGCTGGGGGACTTCTCATTTTTCTTGGCTGAGGTGGGGAGAGGGTCACTTCGGCCTAATTCCATTGGGGGTTTTGATAGCAAGGAACCCGGTTATTCCTTTTGTGAGCAGAACACAAGAGGAAGGGGAGGGAAAGCCCACAAGAAAGACGAGGGCGTTTGCTCAGGCTCACCGCCTTTCCTGTAACGCACAGGTCTAGCACTTTCCATCACTGTAGTTAAAGTAAAAAACAGAAGGAGGGGAAAGTAAAATAACCACTTTAAATGATAAACCCTCCTTCCACTGACACAGAGGATTATTGACACAGGCAAGGCCAGAAGTGCATTCATCTGAGAACAGCAAAGTCTGAAAGGACTCTCTGGATCATTGAATCCAGGCCCCATCAAGGAGGCCCAGTGGGGAATTGAACCCCCAACCTCTGGCTCCACAGCCAGATATGTAAACCTCTGAGCTATCCAGTAGATTGGAGGGTGAAGATTTGTGCTGTGGGAGAGCTGAGGGGGTGAATAACAGAAGAATTAATTAAGGCAAGCAGACGTGTTGGTACTTGTGACAGCCTCCTCACATGTCACAAAGGAGCTGCCACGTCACACTCACACTCACTTTATTTCATGCCGCCACCAACCATTCCCTTGTAAGACTCTTCAGACAAAAGTATGATTTTTAAAATAAAAACTTATGTTTATTGGTAACATCAAAAGGAATGGTAAATCACTTTATCAACTAAAGTAAAAGGCAATCAGTAATAATAAAGTACCCCCCCACACACTCTCAGACCTTCACTCAATATATATATAGCACAGTACTACACAACATGTACAAGCCCTAACTCCCTAAGTCCCTAACCAGACCCTATCAAGTCCTTATCTGATTAACACCTCATTCACTCCCCCTTAAATACCCTAGCTCCACCCTCTTATGTCCCGCCTCCCATCACGCCATTGACAGATGACACACAACCATAGCAATGACAGGCAGATGACATCATCGTTACTGTAACAGTACTGTACTTCATTCTACTGCTGAAACCAGGAACTAGTCTCCGTAATAGCAAGTCATAGCATTAATGCCAACAACCGTGACACGAGGGAGAATTCAAATGGTTGCTGTTTTATTTAGCTAAATAAAAGGCAGACTGAATTCATGCCTCCAAATGTAGGCACGAAAAAAACCCTTGTGATGCAGGAATTCTATAACATTGGTTACACAAGGGAATGGGAGGAGAAATGGAGAAATGAGTGGTTCGTGATCTATTGGCAGAAGGTATGAGGTGATAAAGGAATCCAAACTTTATCAGAGTTGGAATCACAGAAGTGAGAGAATGTACAACAGGGTGGGTCTATAGACAGCAATTATAGAAATACATGGTTACACTGTTGTATTGTTCCGACTGGAAAGCAATTTATTATCTTGCAAAGAGGTTACAAGGTAGGATGAAAAGGAGACTTCCAAGATGAGAAGGAAATAATGTTTGTAGAGGGAAAAATATTGTGCAATGACTGTCCAGGTTCCGGAGTTCAAGTTGCACATGATTGGTCCTTGTACTCTATTCACCTAGGGGAAGAGAGTCAAAACCTAGCTGTGCTGTGTCCCTTTGCTTCTTCAATCTAGATTGGAAAGCGAAGTAGCTGGCCCTGGAGAAGGAAACCTGGCCAGCCTTAATCCTTTACAGAGACTCTTTGAGGGGACAAAAAACATGTACGTATATATATCTAGCTAGCGTGTTTCATGTAGTGCTTTTGTGTACGTGGTCCCTTCAGTACAGTTGGTTTCATCCTTCGTGTAAAATAATGATGTGAGGTGAGATAATTTACATCACGTAAAGACCTGCATTCCCAAGAAAAGCAGGGGTGTCTCATTTCTGCTGTGATGGACAAGGATTACCTCCAGTTTTTGAGAATATTAGGACCCGCTACCTTGAATGTTTCAAATGCTCTTTGGTGTTCAGGTGGGGCCTGAGGACAACAACGTAGCACTTGGGGATGAAGATGCAGCCCAGGAGGCCAGCGTTGGAGGCCAAGATGGAGAAGACCTGCACGGCCACCATGAACTTGCCCCTGGTGCTCAGGTAGGTGGGGACAAAAGACGCCCAAACGCTGCAGAAGACCAGCATGCTGAAGGTGATCAGCTTGGCCTCGTTGAAGGCCCCGGGCAACTTCCTGGCCAGGAAGGCCACCGTGAAGCAGACGGCAGCCAGGAAGCCCAGGTAGCCGAGGGCGGTGTAGAACATGGCCACAGACCCCTCGTTGCATTGCAGGGTGATCTCCCCAGGCTGGGAGTGCAGGTCAGCGTCCGGGAATGGAGGAGAGGTCCCCAACCAGATGGAGCAGATGACCATTTGACCACCGGAGCAAGAAAGGATGACGGCGTTGGCCAGACTCTTCCCCAGCCACCTCCTGGCTCTGTTCCCGGGCTTGGTGGCCAGGAAGGCCAGCACCACCATGATGGTTTTGGCCAACACCGAAGAGACGGCAATGGAGAAGATGATGCTGAAGGCCGTTTGTCGGAGGAGGCAGGTGGCTTTCCTTGGCCGGCCGATGAAGAGGAAGGAGGAGAAGAAGGAAAGCAAGAGGGAGACGAGAAGGATGTAGGAGAGGTCCCGGTTGTTGGCTCTGACCAGTGGAGTCTCTTGGTTCTTGATGAAGATTCCTAAAACAGAAGCTGTGATGATGGAGAAACACAGGGCAAAAGAAACCAGGATGATCCCCAAATATTCCTCATAAGAGAGGAAGTTTATGTCTTTGGGGATACACCGTTCGTGGTCCTTGTTTGGATGCTGATCTTCTTTGCATTT